GCTTCGGCTTGACCATTGCTTTGGGGATAAGCTGGCGTGGAAAAGCAGGGACGGATACCATACTTGTTGCGCAGCTCTCGGCAGACGCCACAATCAAACTAGGTGCCGTTGTCAGAGATGAGAGCTCTCGAAATACCGAATTGTGTTATGATATTTCTCCATACAAAGCGCTTAACATCAGCATCTCGAATGTGCGTTAAAGCCTCCGCTTCGACCCATTTTGTGAAGTAATCTGTCGCGATGATCAAGTATCGCTTGTTCCCCAGGGCCCTCGGCAATGGTCTGACGATATCAAGTCCCCACTGGGCAAACGGCCAGGGACTGATGATAGAGCTTAACTCTTCAGTAGGTAGATGGGTTAACGGGGAGAACTTCTGGCACTGCTCACATTTTTTCACATAGCATTCGGCGTCGGATCTCATTGTCGGCCAATAATACCCTTGTGTTATAGCTCGATGGGCCAAAGACCGCCCGCCAGAGTGTGTGCCACAACTGCCTTCATGGATTTCAGTCAGAAGCTCTTCAACTTTGTTCGGATGCACGCATTCGAGGTATAGACCAGAAGAGGACTTTTTATAAAGCTTTCCTTGCAGATCCAAGTAGTAACGCAGGACTTTGTTTCGCAGCTTGTGCACTTCTTTCTTGTCCTCTGGGAGCTGTTCGAAGGATAGGAATGCGGCAATGGGATCCATCCAACTTGGTCCAAATTCTACGACATTGACCTGGACTTCTTCCGAAGGGCCAATGCTTGGCTCAGGGATGAAACCCACATCGATGGTCCGTTTGATCTCTAAGTTAATAGCGGAGGCTAGGCAGGCAAGGGCATCTGCGTGTGTGTTCTGATCACATGTTATCTGGCTCAATTCATGATGGTCAAATTTTCCCAGCAAGGAGTTGGCGTTTTTATGTAAGCCGCCATACAGTCGTTTCTTGCCGCGTGCTCCCCTTTTAGCTGGTTGATCACCAGTTTTGAATCGCAAAATACAAGCAAACACCGAGCACCCAAAAGATGTGAATTCCGCAAACCGGCTAGAAGGGCTTCGTATTCGGCTTCGTTATTTGACGCTTCGAAGCCAAGCTTAACGGCCTGCTCAATTATTGCGCCGTCAGGAGCCATGATCACAACTCCGGCTCCGCTGCCCCGCTGATTGGATGATCCATCACAGTACAACTACCAAATGTTCCCAACATAAATTCTCCAGTTCGGCTCTGGTCAAATCTCATCAGACTTAAAATTGGCAGGACCCACAGTGAATTCGGCAACGAAGTCGGCAAGTACATGTCCCTTGATTAAGGTTCTATGTAGGAACTGAATGTCGTACTGGCCGAGTTCAAGAGCCCACTTTAAAACACGTCTTGACGCTTCTGCACTTTGTAGTACTGATCAGAGAGGATAATCTGTTAGCACCCTAATGTTGTGTCCCTGGAAGTAATGCATCAGTTTCCTTGCCGCCATGACTAGGGCTAGGATGAGTTTTTCCAGCAGAAGGTAGCGTGTTTCGGCGTCAACCATTGCCCTGCTCACGTAATACACTGGACGTTGCTTCCCAAGCTCTTCCTTTATCAGTACGGAGCTGACGGCCCTGTCAGAAACAGCCAGATACAAAATGAGCGGGTCACCAGCGGCAGGTGTTGTCAAGAGTGGTACTGAGCGGAGGTAGGTCTTGAGGCCGTTGAAAGTGACTTCGCATTCGGCGGAGCATTCAAAAGCCTTGCCCTGCCGTCGTGTATGAAAGAATTGTCGGCAGCTGTCCGTGGAATGACTGATGAACCTTTTGAGTGCGGCGGGCATCCCCATTAACTTTTGAACCTCCTCGACCGATCAAGGGGAGCCGAGTTCTAGGATTGCTATGATTTGCCTTGGGTTGGCTTCGATTCCTCGGTGGTTGACAATGTATCCTAAGAATTTGCCAGAGCCGATCCCAAACGCACATTTGGAAGCGTTCAGCTTCAATCTATATTTCCGTAGAATGCTGAATGTCTCTTCTAGATCGGCTATATGGTTCTGCTCTTCCTTAGACTTGACCACCATATCGTCAATGTACACTACCATAGTGTGGCCGAGTTGCTTCTTGAACATGGCGGTGACCAATCTTTGGTAGGTTGTCCCTGCATTCTTCAGCCCAAAAGGCATAACCTTGTAGCAGTAGGTTCCTCTTGGGGCGAGGAATGTAGTTTTGTCCTGGTCCTCTAGATGTATGGCGATTTGATGGTAGCCTCTGTAAGCATCGAGGAAGCTCATACGTTGATGGCGTGCCGTCGCATCCACAAGTTGGTCAATTCTGGGTAGGGAAAAACAATCTTTGAGACAGGCTTTGTTCAGGTCCGTGAAATCGACGCACACTCGCCAAGTCCCGTTTTTATTCTTCGCCACCACTGTATTAGAGAGCCATGTAGGGTAGGTCACTTCCCTTATTGCCCCGGCATCAAGCAGTCTGTCAACCTCCTCAACAACGGTGGCAGTGTGCTCTGCAGCTGACTGCTGACTTTTCTAAATGATCGACTTGTACTTAGGATCAATATTTAAATGGTGGTGTGAAATGGACGGATCTATACCAGGCATCTCATATGGAGTCCATGCAAAGACATCGAGGTTACTAAACAGGAAAGAGATTAGTTGCTGTCTGTCGGCCTGACTCTGGGATGCGCCGACCATTAAGAATTTGTCTGGGCTTCCATCGATTTCAACTCGGTCTAAGCTTTCCGTGGCCTTTTCATTTTGGAGCCGCCCAAAATCGTCGAGGCTCTCTCGATCTGGCACCTCAATAGAATTCACCTACAGCTACTTTGGTGTTTGTTCGGCAAGGAGATAACATGCTTGTGCCGATTTCTGGGAGCCACAGATTTGTTCAATACCGTGTTCTGTCGGGAAACGGAGCAGCTGGTTATACGTACTCGGCACGGCCTGCATGGTGTGCAACCAAGTCCGCTCCATAATGAGATTGTACGGCGATGGCAGCTTGACGACTAAGAATTCTACATCCACTGTACGAGAGCCAGCTCGGACTGGGAATGTGATCTTCCCCAATGGGTATTCTGGATTGGCGTTGAAGCCGAATAATGGATAAGGAGCCGGAGAGAGATCTGACTCTGAGAAGCCGAGTTTGGTGAGTGTCTTGTAATACATAACCTCTGATGTGCTCCTCGGATCAATGAGTACGCGCTTTACTGTGAATCGGTTTACGCGTAACTCAATTTCCAAGGGATCGATGTGGGGAAGTGTTACACCGGCCAGATCTGAATCATCAAAAGAAATGATTGCAGCTTCATGGGGTCGTTTAGCCAGAGTGAGTTGGTTTTAAGGGTGAGGATTCGACTGGATCGTATGCATTGCGGATGAAATTGGCAGGCTGTATATCATGTGGATCACGCCGAGCGGAGGTGAATCCAATCTTAAGGCTATCGCTTTTGTTAGGTTGCCTTTTCGGGCGTACTGCTGTAGCCGGCCATCTTGTACCAATTCCTCCAGGAGATCCTTCAGTGCATAACAACTATCAGTATCATGGCCATGGTCCTTGTGATACTCACACCGTCTATCCCGTCTTCTCACGTCGGGAGGTCCCACCATTTTCGACGGCCACTTGAAGAACGGGAGATGTTGGATTTTGAACATAACCGCACTAATCGGCTCTGTCAACTCCGTATACTTCTTGTCAGCGCGCCTCATGCACCTACTGTCAACTTGCAGCTGTTCATTTTCTCGGTGGGAACATTGGTCGCTTGATCGGCGGGAATCTCATCTCTTGTCCCGTTTGGCCCGATGTCGTGGTTCAGGGCTCTGGGGTGCTACAGAATTTAACAGTTGTGCAGATTCAGCAAGAGCCGTCTTGTTGGTCACATTTTCGGGTTTAACCCTCAAGGCATCATCTTCCACTTTATAATATTCTTCAACCTTCTTCATCAACGACGAAACTGTTTTGGGGGGCCGTCTGGTGAAAGAGCTGCGGAGGGCACTCTCGGGACGCAGTCCCATTCCGGCTCTAGTTTATAATACCACCTGACAACTAGTGGTCCCAAACTGCTCGGAAATATTCTGCTCATCAAAGCCTCGTCATTTGTATGCAGCGTCATGGCTTGCTTGTAATGGCAGATATGATCGGTGGGCTCTAATTTATCGTCGTACAAGGTGAATGACGGTGCTTTGAATTTCTTGGGTAACAATGCCTTTGCAATTCGTTGTACGAAGGGATCATGCCGGTCTTCTTCATCTGAGCTGTTTCGTTTGCGCTTATGCCTTATATGTGGACTCTCTTTAGTGGAGCTGGAAGTTTCAGATCGTCCCTTCTTCTTGGGCTCGAGGGGTAATAAGTCGGAGTCACTATCAGTGTCTTGTTGTCGGGGTCGAGATCGTCGACCTCCGGCCCTCACAGGTCGTTCCAGATCTTGGCGTAAAGCTTGTTTGGACTTCGCCACCTCCAAGGCCAAATCCTGACGGAGACGTTCGTTTTCAGCGATCATGTTCTCCAACCTTTGTTTGTTTTGCTTTGTTTGTTCCATGATTACTTGCATTGCCTGTTCTAAAGTCGAGGGTGAGGCAAAGTTTAAAGCGCGTCTTACAGGGATAGTCTCTAGTCCAAGCATGTTTGTTGGAGTGAGGTTGTCTCTCTGTGTGGTTTCATCAGTGACTATCGGAGGGTCTTCCGTTACGCCCACCATGGATATGTTTGAGTGTTCCCACAGACGGCGCCAATTGTGGAGAAGTGGTTTGAAAATACTCTTCTGATCCAGGGGGACGCTAGTGATCCTCTTCTAGTCACCTGAAAAGAAATAAACACTCCGGTCGGAGGTGCCGGAATTAGCACTCCGACGGGCAAGTCAGTCTTTACACTCAAGTTTATTTGTATTCTCAATTAAGTACAATAGTTCTCACACACTTCTTTCTAGCTGATGTTCTTCTATTTATATCTTTTCTTTCTTGGGCCTTGGGATTAGGTCCATTTCCAATTCTATATTCGGCATATTTTATAGTAGGCCACTCTCTACTCAGCCCCTTGCTTAATCGGCTATTTGGCCGAGTAGAGTTGCATTCGAGCGTGTGAGCATACGCCGAGTACCACGTATTTTGACTCTCCCAGGTTCGACCATCTGGAATCTTTACGACTCCCAATACTCGGCCCCCATATATATTAATATATACGATGTTTGATTACTTGTCTAATTATTTAATTGGGACAGGATAACCTTGAGATTGAAGGATACGATGAGAGCCCACTTGCACAAGAAGTTATTGACATAAAGGCCACACATATGTTCAAAGGCTAGAGATATCACATGAATTAACATTACAAAGCGTTGGTGAAAACAGATCCTTATAGTAAGCCATTTGTTGGGGTGAGTGAAGAAGATTGGAGGTACATGATTGATCACGTGTTTCTTGGTGACACACACAAGATAATTAACTCAACACTCACGAATGTTTCTTCTAATTGCACCACAAATCACCAATGTACCTTATTCTAATTGCACTACAAATCCATGGATGTTTAAATTTCTTACAACTCAAAGTTCCCAAGTTTCGTTGAAATTGAAAGAATGGCTAATGATATATATAATTATATATGCATGTATATATATAAGGAATGAATTTGTGCGCAATAGACTAAGGAAATCCTGCTTCTGTTTTATCTCCTTCTGCACCTATATATCTCTGTCTCCCATTCTTCTGCTGTCTCTGTCCCATTTTTCAGCTTCTTTACCTGCTACCTCTTGCTTTGCATTGTAGAATAAATACTATAATATTTGTATTTCATTGTAGGTACGGTAAAAAAGAAACATAGACAACAGAAAAAAATTTACCCTATAATCACACTATGGGTTCGAGATCATTTTCAGCAACAATCTCAATTGAGGTAACATATTTTTTGTTTTAAAACTATTAGCTAATGCTGCATTTTTTTTTATTAATAATATTGCTAAGCTTGCATTTTATATTTTTAATGCAGGGAATTGAAAATGGCAAGGAGCCTCACATCGTAGATTTTTACAAGACCTTATATTGGAGTAAGAAAAGAATGATTGGATTGAACCAATTTGTGGGGTGTTATATGTAAGTATACCTTCACTATATTTGTTATTCATATTCCTAACTACTTGTTTTTTGTTTTCTTGGATTAATTACACTTTACGTCCTCCTGGTTTCACTCAAAAGCACTTTACCCAACTAAAGTATACAAATATATATACATAGTAATTAAAACTACACATATAATCCCCTACACAACCCGTACAAGTAGGAATTAATACTAGAGACCAAATTAACCACCAAAATAGAAATAGAGATCTACACATAGTAATTACAACTACACAGATTTTCCAACCAATAACATGATAGGGCGTATGTTGCAGCCACCACCAAGTTAACAGTCTATTCCTTTGAAGAACAAGAGAGACATTATCCATGGAAGGGCGCCCATTGCAGCCACATCCAAACCACCAAACCAGTCCCAACAGCTTTACATGAACCTGTCCAGAAAATAGGTTCAATGATGAATTGCCAAGACAACACAAATTGTTCCAATCATAAAGCAACAAGAATAAATGTAAATAACCCACCCACCACCACAACCCCCCTCCCTTTTTTTTTTTTAAATTTGACAGGAGAAGATGGACCAACTTCTTGAGAAAGCTTCACAGCCTAGAGCAACCCCGCTGACACAGGAGCAAATTTCTGTTCAAGTCCTTGGAAAGAGGTCAAGGTATTTGAAAGGTTTCGGGGTTGGTCCAAAGTCGTCTTCCACTTTCAAGTCTACAGCTAGGTCACAAGCGTATGATGAAGAGGTTAAGGGCCTTAAACAAGAGGTAGCATCACTGAAAGGGATAATTCAATCATACGAAGGACGCTCTAAGCAGTTCGAACACTTTATGAGACAAATGTAGGGCAATCATAGTGGATACAATTCTTTTGATGAGTAAGTACTTTAAATTTTATTACATATATTAGTGCTTTTAAAACAGTAAATATTTTATGACTAATCAATTTCACTTGTTCCCTTTATGCATGTTGTTGAAGTAACTGTTAATATTTGTTCCACTAAAGATATCTTTAATTTTCTACTCAGGATCCAAATCCTTAACTTTTTAATGAGTTTGTATCATGGGGAGGAAACTTAATATATGCTAAGTGAAATCGAATATGTTAAAATCATCATCTTAATACAATATGTTAAGATGTGATCATGACGTTCAAAAGGCTCTATGTGATTGTTAATAAGGCTCTATGTGATTGCTAGTTTGGGAGTGGAATTAGATCCATAGAATTTTACAAAATTAAATAGAAGTGTAAGCAAAAATATTATTATTAACAACACTTTCTTCATTTTTTTTCCCTTACAAGTAGCTAGAGGTGTAGTCATGCGTGTTTATGGACATGATCAGTTTGCCCGTCACTTGTTCCCTTTGTGCATGTTGTTGAAGTAACTGTTAATATTTGTTCCACTAAAGATATCTTTAATTTTCTACTCAGGATCCAAATCCTTAACTTTTTAATGAGTTTGTATCATGGGGAGGAAACTTAATATATGCTAAGTGAAATCGAATATGTTAAAATCATCATCTTAATACAATATGTTAAGATGTGATCATGACGTTCAAAAGGCTCTATGTGATTGTTAATAAGGCTCTATGTGATTGCTAGTTTGGGAGTGGAATTAGATCCATAGAATTTTACAAAATTAAATAGAAGTGTAAGCAAAAATATTATTATTAACAACACTTTCTTCATTTTTTTTTCCCTTACAAGTAGCTAGAGGTGTAGTCATGCGTGTTTATGGACATGATCAGTTTGCCCGTGTATAAATTCTAAGTTATGCTTATTCATGGACTTTTTGATATATTTTGCATCAGACAAATATGACACGCACTTGGATATGAATGGTTTTTGAAATCTTTGATAATTTTCTCATATATGTTTTTGATTGGGTGAATATTCATTGTAAACTAAATGGATGAATGGATGGCTATTTTGTGAAGTAAATGGATGGATGGATGGTAATTTTGTAAAGAACATGGATGGATGGATGGATGGGTGGATGGTAATTTTGTAAACTCAATGGATGGATAGATGGTTATTTTGTCAAATAATAATGTGTTCATGTTAGCCGGTGGTAGTAATTAGATAGATAAATTATTATTTTAACTTCCTTTCGATGGTTTTTTGTTTGTAGATTAGATTGTTGATGGATTGGTATGTTGAAATTAATTGGATGGACATGAATTATGCATTAATTATAAATGTATTACAGGTATTACAAAAAAAAAAAAGTAGTATTACATTGACAAAAATGTTGTTTAAAATTGAAAGCTTTTTTGCGACCAATAAAATTTTAGTCGCAATAGGTCCTTGACAAGCTATGTTGATGTGCTAGACTTTTTGCGACTAGGATAGTTTGGTCGCCAAAAATCGCATTTCAGTGACTAAAATCGGTAGTCGCAATTGTTACCTTACATCGACTAGATTGTTCATCGCAAAATGAATTACTTTTGAGAAATTGAAATGCTTTTTGCGACCAACATGTATGGTCGCGAATGCCTACTTTCGCGACCAACTTTTGTTTTAGTCGCCAAAAACCAAATTTCAGTGACTAGCATCGGTGGTCGCAATTGTTATCTTTTGGCGACTAGATTTTTTGTCGCAGAATGAACTACTTTCGAGAAATTGAAATACTTTCTGTGACCAACATATATGGTGGCAAATGTCTACTTTTCGCGACCAATTTTAGATTTGGTGGCCAAAAACCTTCTGTAATCGGTTTTTAGCGACTAGATTGCGACCAACTTTTTTTGGTCGCTAAAAATTATCAGCGACTAGATATGAGCTTTTTGCGACCATTTTTTTGGTTGCTAAAAGTGTTATTTCTTGTAGTGACATATAGAGGTATTATTGAAAAAATATATATATCATCAAACAAGCATTACCGATCACCTTCACAATCCGTTCATCGTCACAACTAGTAGTTGTGGTGCCTTAATCCCTGCTTTACAAAATAAAATATTTTTGGATATGAGATGGTCGCCTAGCGTATGAAAGCACGTTTAGCAATTTCGGATCTCAATCAAAAATCATATTTGAGTAAAGATCTGAAAGCTCATCGATGGTAAGTCAATGATGGAGAAGAGAGGAGCAGTAATGGCTAGCATAGTGATGAACAAGAAATAAAATAGGATAACCCACGAGAGAAGAAATGAAAGAGAGAGGATGGCTAGAAGCACCACCCTTTCCTCCCTAAAGAATAAAGAAAGAAGGTAGGATTACTCACACACACACACAGAGAGAGAGAGAGAGAGAGAGAGAGACTAGGGTCTCCACTGTGTTTAAGTGTAGTTTTTTGGAATACTTTCAAATCAGTTTGTGTTTGGAAAGTTATTTTTAAATTAGTTCTAAACTTTACAAATATTAAAAAGTAAAAACCATAATTGTTTTTTTATAAATTTGTAATTAATTTTCAAAACACCTCTGGCATGTAATTTTCTCTAATTTTTTTTCCCTCTTTTCTCATTTCTCTCGAGCTTATCTCTTTCTTGTCTCTTGTCTTTTCTTTCTTCTTCTTTACTTTTATTTTATTTTGATAAAATATAAATAACCTTTAATATACAAATCTCATTTATATAAAATTAGTAAGGTTGAAAATATATTGACCATAATTTTAAAATTATTTCTTACAAATCTGGAAAGCATATTGTCCTACTAAGCTTACATCACGCCTCATCTATACACACACACATATATATAAAGAAAAATGAGATTTCTAATGAGAATGTCCTTGTGAATCTTAAACCTTCATACTATTTTTCTGAAATTTTTATTTTTTAAATAATTAAAAAAATCTTCTATTGACTAGTTTTTATAGAATCATTTAAAATAATAATAATTAATCTGCTTATATCCCTTTATTTATGACTTTCAAATAGCAAGTACACTAATCCATTTCAAAATTCAAATTCGAAATGGATAAGAGATTTTCAAAATATTTTAGAGAGAAAAAAAAATAGTTTGACTCTAATTCAAATTCTTTCATTAGATTTATATCTTACCCAAATATATTTCACAAAAAATTAAACTTACAAATCTCTAAACCCAACATCCATGACCACATGAAATTGGGCAAAAAGATTAGAGAAAAGAAGGAATCTTGCAGAGGAATTAAACAGGTGATTTGACCAATTATGCACGATTTTTGACATCTTATATGAAAAGAAACACATGTTTGAAATCTTATATTGTGTTTTTTACTCTCTTTTTTCTTTTGCATATTTTATTTTTTATTTTTTAGTTTTAGTTTATTTGGTTTTTTTTTTTTTATTATATATGTATCAGTAAAAAAGTAGCAGTTACAACAAAAAGCTAAAAGATCAACACAAAAAATGATGTTTTGCGATGCAATTGAAGTTCACACATTTTTTTTAAGAAAAATTTTATCAAACAAGAAGAGAATTTGGAATACATTCATGAGTTTGAAGGAAGTATTTGTTCAATCCCATTTATTTTTCATTATATTTTTTCTTCAATTATATTAATGTATGTGTTCCATTATGTTGCAATAAATAGAGGAGAAAGCTCAATTTAAATTCAAATATAACTAAACTTAATTATATAACTCTATAACATTTTTGCTTATATATATATATTATTTGAGATCTTCATGAGTTTAAATTTGTTTATTTGCATATATGTAGTGAGTACACTAATTAAGTAGGTTTTTAAATGATAAGTTTCTCTTTTACAATAAAAAATAGTTACATTCAATTACATTTCCTTGTTTAGGAACATGTCATTTTAATAACTTTTTGACTTTTTGACTAAAATATAAAGTAAAAGAAATTAATATGTTTGAGATGACTTTTGACTTTTTACGAAAATATGTACAAAAAATAGAGAGAAAAGGAAAATTTTGACTTTTAGGTATAGCAAGTTAGCTTTTTAATTTTTTTAGTGACTTTTTGACTTTTAAACTAAAAGATTGAGTTGCCAAACGAGATGTAATTTTTAAACAAATTGAATTCAATATGTGAATGATTTAATAAAAGTTGGATTAATTTCTTATAAACAAAATTATTATTTAATTATGTTGTGTTGAAATTATAAACGGTAAATATTATTTGAGATCTTCATGAGTTTAAATTTGTTTATTTGCATATATGTAGTGAGTACACTAATTAAGTAGGTTTTTAAATGATAAGTTTCTCTTTTACAATAAAAAATAGTTACATTCAATTACATTTCCTTGTTTAGGAACATGTCATTTTAATAACTTTTTGACTAAAATATAAAATAAAAGAAATTAGTATGTTTGGGATGGCTTTGACTTTTTGCGAAAAGATGTGCAAAAAATAGAGAGAAAAAGAAAATTTTGACTTTTTGGTATAGCATGTTAGTTTTTTGATTTTTTTAGTGACTTTTTGACTTTTAAACTAAAAGATTGAGTTGCCAAACGAGATGTAATTTTTGAACAGATTGAATTCAATATGTGAATGATTTAATAAAAGTTGGATTAATTTCTTATAAACAAAATTATTATTTAATTATGTTGTGTTGAAATTATAAACGGTAAATATATTTATAATCAAAATTTTAAAACTTAATTTAAATAAATATTCAACTATGTTGTGTTGAAATTATAAACCTTAAACATATTTATAATCAAAATTTTAAAACTTAATTTAAATAAATATGTTTTATGTATTTAGAAAAAAATCATAGGCAATAAATTTTTTCCCTATGATTGTTGAATTTTATATTCACATGCATAACATGTGTTACTGCAAGAAAAACATTCAAATTATGTGTGTTTTATACTTAAAACTGTATTATTTAAAATGAATTATTATATTATCATATAACACAAAATAAAAATAAAACCAACAAAGATTTTAAATAAAAAAAAGTGATGTTATTTTTTTTATTATTAAGTAGCTTCGGAATTTTAAAAAAAAATGCTGAAATTTATAGCTTATAAAAGTAAAATAAATGATTAGATTATCATAACATAATGTAAAAATAAAA